ACAGCCTGCGGATGGAGGTGTGAAGGAGGTGATCCTGATCTCGGTGGGGATTGCTGAAGGTGGTGCAGAAAGGTGTAATGAGGCGAAATTTGATGCATACAAAGGGCACATCTAGGGAGATGATCTAGGCTTGGGATCCCCAAACCCTCCCTGATGTTTGGTTTGTAAAACACACCATCCAACCAGCTGGAAACAGAGGGAGAGCTGGTCCACATCTCCCAGGGGGGAGAGGGTCTCTCCATCCCACAGCAGGCGAGTGAGACCTTCTCTCTGCATCCCTTCATCCTTGCTGTCACCCAAAACGAGCGAGCTGGGTCCCCTCTCAGCCTTGTGCCTCGAGTGAGAACAGCTCCCAGATTAGAAATAATTCCAATCTGCCCTCCCTTCCTCTTGGCCCACACAAGGAGGAAGGTGGGTGCAACCCCTGAGTCTCAGGGACAAGGAAGGAGAAGAGGTGCTCTCAAAATTCCTTCTGGGAGGAAGAGTCCTCTCTCACCTGACACCTCCCAAGAGGCAGTTCTCCCTCCGGGAAAAGGCATCAGAAACACCTTGCTCCTCCATCCCAGCACCAATGACACATCCTTTGAGGCCTTTGCCCGGGCAGTCGGGGCAGCAGGGTCTCGGAGGTTCCTGCATGGAGCCGGCACGGTCACACCCTCCCTCTGCCCTCTTCAAAGACTAAAGGTGCTCTTACAACGCTGGGGGAGTGCCTCCTGTCCCCAGGATGGAGCTGCACAGCGTTTACCCAGGCACTGGCCCTGCCCCAGCCCTGCCCTGACAGCTGGAACACCCGGCAGCGCATGCTTACTTTGGAAGGCAGGCTGGACCCTGATCCTCCAGCTTCAGCTCACTGTGCAGCAGATCACGCTCTTGTTTGACTGTAACTCCTGGGGCAGAGGAGCCTGTCCCACTGTGTTCTGGGAAGAAGAGAGATGTGTTCCTAGCATGGGAAAGTTTCCCCTCTTTTACAGTAATTGCTTGTAATAACATCTTGCACATCCCCTTTCATCCTACAGCTGATGCCTTTCCCAGATGAGACGCCCAGAAGTGCAGCTGCCACCGGAACAGAGCAAGACAATTTGTTTACAAGGCAGGCCCGTGCTCTCGGCGGCCGAGGGCAGGAGGAAGGGGAGGCTGCTGTCTCCGGGTCCACGCAGGCAGCTCAGGGGGATGGCCTGCATTGTTCCAGGTCAGGATAACACGGCCCTTCCGCAGCCCCTTTCCTATGGGAATCCCGACAGGTCGTTGTCCCTCCCTCACGAGGGGAAGTGCGGCACCAGGGGGGTGAAGCGACTCATGTCGGACGACAGCGCTGAAGGGGGAGAAGGAGGGAAGCGGGGCCTGAAGGAGCTTTGCAGCTCCACTTGGAAGATGCCAGGCCACAAAGCAAGCCCAGAGCCCACCCTGACACCTTCCCAGTGCAGCTCCATGTGCTTGGTGTTGTCCCTGCTTCCCACCAGCCTCCCACCGTGCTTGGGCTCTCCCATGCCCACAGACCATCCTGCTTTCAGCCTGGCTGCATCCTATCGTGCCCTCAGACTGTCAAATTCCTGGTACATCTTTGTACATGTGGCTGAAGCATGCACAGAAATCTCCTTCCCTCCCAGCCCCACAATGCAGTCTCTCCTTCCTCTCCTTTCCCAGTGCCTTTCCCAGCCTCAGATTTTGCCTTCATCCATCCCTTTTGCCACTGCACAGGGTCCAAGGTCCCTCTGGAGAGCAGGGACTCAGAGGCAGGTCCTGCCCTGCAACACAGGCAAAGGCGACATAGCTGAAAATGATCCTGGCTATGAGAACTGAGACGGGGATTTCCTTTCTCTTACAAAAACTGGCTCAGAAACTGCTGATTTCAGGGCTTGTGAGACACTGGAAAGACGAGATTTGTCCTGTGAGGAGGCCTCTCCTCCTATCAATAGCAGCAGGAGCCTGAACAGCCAGCACAGTTTAGGCCTTGCCTTCCTTCTGCAGTGAATCCCACCAGGAGATAAGCCCTGCTGGACATTCCCAACCCTCTGAGTCACCCAGGGTTGTGCCGAGCCACGAGCCAATGGCCAAGGACACCAGCTGTGCTGCAGGTCTGCAGCCTCTGAGCACCTGAATGTGGACAGAAGGATTCATGGTCTGACACGTTTTGCAGTGACAACTGCAATCCCATACTTTTTTCCAGGAAAATCTGGTAGCAGCAACGGAGTTTAGAGAGAGGGGTCAATGTGACAAAAGGCTGCCAGTAATTTTTCCACTCTCTGTTGTTTGGCTTTGGATACTAGTAAAAATGACACCATAAAAGGCCTCTTTTGTGTACCTACAATGGGAGTGGTCGCTCGCTTGCCAGTTCGAGTATCAGTAAATTTTAAGGGCAGACAAGGCCACTCGTTGAGGGGGGGGCAGCAGAGCTGCAGCTGTTGGGGTACAGTGGAGCGGGGGCTTTGCCTGACAGGGTTTAGTGCTGGAACATTAAAACCCCAGCACCCCAGCCCTGCTCGCTGGAATGTGGCTGCCCCCTGTCCCACTGTGGTCCCTGTCACAGGGCACGGCATGGCATCTGGATCCATGCACTCCCAGTGAGGTCAGGCTTTCCAGGCGACAGCTCCGATCATTGTAATTCCAAAGGACTGCAAGGGGTGGGGGAGGAAACATCTCTATTTTGCTTCTATTTTTATGAGCATATGATAGCACTTTGATATGAAATTACTTGTTTTGCTGCATCCCTTGGTATTCCGGGCTGGGCTCCAAGCCACCCGGGGGCAGTGACAGACTGCCAGTGACCTCAGAGGCCGCTGGCCCAGGCCTGGCACCAGCCACTTTCTTCCTTGGTTTGTGTCCATTTTGCAAAAACAGAAAAGAAAAACCACCCTCACATGTCCAACCAAATGAAAATCCCTCTGCAAGACCACATTTGAAGACTTTGTGGATTTAAACTCTATGGCGACATTCAGACTCCCTTCCTTCTGCAGCTCCTGAAACTTCCACCCACTTGGGTTGTTTGTAGGAACAGCCACTGTCTCCAGGCGATGTGGATGGATTACAATCTTTGTTCATGTATGTGGAGTGACTGACGCAGATGTTTGTACAATGGGTCCTTTATAAAGTGACAGAATACTTTCAAACTAAGTGGGCAGCATTGCTCGCTTGAAGGATGGCTTCCAAAGCACCATCAATCCTCCCCTTCAGGAGTTTGGGGCACAAAAACACCGTTCCTTACACGGGAGGTCACACGGGTGGACTGTGAAAATCCAAACCAAGGTGGATCACGGGGCTCTGAGCCCTTGAACCCAGAGCTGCTCCAGACGGCAGGCGCTACACACAGACCTCGTGTTCACCAGCGCCACCACTGCAGTGCCCACAAGCAGCCCTGGCCCGGCTGTCGTGTCCGTGGCCCGATGAGGATGAGGGAGGGATGAAGGTGGGATGAGGGGCAGCCCCTGCTGCCCCACAGGCGGTGGCCGCCCCCAGGCTGCCCTCAGCGCGGCCGCCATCACACGGCGAAACACGAGCGGCGCCTCCACCGCCTGGGCAGAGCAGGGGCACCGCGCCTGGGGGAGGGCTGCGGGAAGGGTCGGCTACAGCAGCCGGCTCTGCGCCGAGCACCGCTCCCGGTGCCCCCGGCGCCCCCGGCGCCGGGAATCCGCCTGGGGCGGAGGGGCCGGGGCCGGGGCCGGAGGACACCGGGACAGCGCGGGGACAGCGGGAGCTGTCCCGCGGCGCTGCCGGGACGGAAATGGGCACACGGGGCTCTGCAGACATCGCCACATCCCAGCCCCAAACCATTGGGACAGCCCGAGGGGGGCAGGCAGGCGCTGTGCCCGGAGTCCCCAGCAGGACGCTGTGTGTCCCTGCAGGACGGCCATGGCTTCTCCCACAGCCAGCCCGCAGCTGCTGTACCGCAGCACCCGCCTGCTGCGCACGGCCTTCCAGCACCTCCACCAGCAGCAGCAGCGAGCCGACGTCTTCTGCGATGTGGTCCTGTGGGCTGAAGGTGAGCGGGCAGCATCGCCAGGGGAGGGGCCGGCGCGTCTGGGGAGCTGCGGGCAGGGTCTCCGCACCCCCCTAGGAAAGAGTGGTGTGAGCAGGAGGGGCTGCAGGGCAGTAACAGCCGCCGTTGCTTTGCAGGCGAGGCAGTGGTGGCCCACTGCAGTGTTCTCTCCGTCTGCAGCCCCTTCTTCATGGAGCAGCTGGGCCGGGAGCTGCCCCCCCAGGGTTGCAGGGTGGTGCTGGAGCTGGCGGGGCTGAAGATTGGGGTGCTGCGCAAGCTGGTGCGCTTCTTCTACACTGCCGAGCTGGAGGTCACGCAGGAGGAGGTGCACGAGGTGCTGGCAGCCGCCCGCCGCCTCCGTGTCACCGAGCTCGAGTCACTGCAGCTCTGGGGAGGACGCCTGGTGAGACTGGGACCCCAGCGGCAGCTCGACCGCTCCTGCCTGCATTCCACTCAGGAAGTCTCCCCCGTGGTGGCACCTGACAGAGCTGAGCCTAGCAGTGCCAGCTCTGGGGTGTCCCCCCAAAAGCAGCCACAGTCTCTGGGGCACACGCACCCCAGCCCCATCGGGCGGATGAGGCTGCGGAAGGTGGAGCGCTGGGGGTGCTGGGAGGTGGTGCGGGACGTGCAGCCCCCCCCTGTCCCTTCACCAGTACCGGTGGGGGTGACAAAAGCACAGCCCCCCAAGGATGAGGATGCACGGGAGCAGGTGAGCAAGTCCTCCCCGCCCCAGCAGCCCCGCAGTGCAAAGGGGATGCAGCAGCGTGGGGACTCCCCTGTGTCCCTGCAGGGCTGCCAGCAGGCAGCACCCCCAGGGACCCCGGGAAGTGACACCACGGAAGAGGAGGTGGATGTGGGGACAGAGGAGCTGTTCCTGCCCCCTGGCACAGTGTGCCTCTGGCCCAATCCTTCATCTGAGTCAGAAGAGGAGGTGGATGTCCTCACCTAGGGGGGGCTGGCTCTGCCTCTCTCCCCACCAGTGCCTGCACCCCTTGGGCTGTGTGTCCTTGGAATAAAGGGCTGGAACTGTGCCGTGGAGTACTGAACTTTATTGGAGATTGGGGGAACAACGGGGTGTGCAGGGAGCCAGGGGTCTGGCAGTGGCAGAGCTGCAGCATCAGGGACGGGACTGGGGCTGGCAGGTGCCCCCCACTTGGTCTCGCCTCTTCATGGATGCTCATGCCACCTGCACCGGTCCTGGCTCGGCTGTGGAGAGAGGGAAGTCAGTTCCGTCCCATCCCATCCCGTCCCGTCCCGTCCCATCCCCGCTCACCTGGCCAACGCCTCTATGCCAAACTGCTCTTCAGGGCTTCCACCACGGTCTCTGGCTGGGGAAACTTCAGCTTGCGGGGGGGCCCCTTCCCGATACCGCTCCACAGCTCCACGGCTGTGGAGATAAGGGCGATTATGGCATCAGGAGTGCCGGGGAGCCCCCGCCGCCCCCCAGCCCAGCACTTACTGCTGCCGTCCTCCTTCACCAGGGACACCTCGAAGCTGTTCCTGCGCGGCGGCCGCGGGTTGATGGCCACGGGGAGGTGGGCCATGGCCCCGCGCAGGGCCGCGCTCACCGCCGCCGCGTTGCGCCCGAACACGCGTCAGCTCTTGCTGCGGGGACACGGCGGTCAGCGACCCGGGGGCACCCAGGGGGCTCGCACCACCCTCGGCACCTCGGCTGCTCACCAGTGCTCGATGACCACACGGGGGCCGATGTCGCCGGGGCCGCCCTCGTCTTTGGCCTGGGCCCGCGCCCTCTTCTGCGGGGCTCCCGCTGCCTCCGGTGCCTCGGCCGCCGCCGGCTGCTGGGCTCCGCGCTTCCTCCCGCGGGGAGCCATCCTGGGAGAGCCGAGGCGGTGGAGCCTACGCCGGAGCAGGAAGGGGGCTCCAGGAATGCCGCTCTGGGGTGAGAAGGGGTCTCAGGTAGCCTGCTGTGAAAGGTGGGTCCATATGGGGACACTGCTGTGGGAGAGGGCCAGGAAGGGCCAGTCCCCGGCGCTGCGCCATGGGGGGAAGCGAGGGAGCCGCGGGGATCCTGCAGTGGAGGGCGGGAAGCGGCTCCGCAGGGATCCCGGCGCGGTGTGCGGCTGGGGAGCGTAGGGAAGCGGGGCCCTGGGGAAGGGAGGGCACAGAGCGGGCCCTGCCGCGGCCGCGCCGCCTCCTACCTGCCGCTGGCCACGTGCCGGGAGCGCGCGCCGCCGGGGCAGCGGGGCCGGAAGGGGCGGGGCCGGGAAGGGCGCGGGAAGCCCCCGGTGGGCTCCGGTTCCGCCCGCGCCGCCCCAGCCAATCAGAGCGCGCGCTCCGCACGGGCGCCGCCCCCATACGCGGCCATACGGGACCGGGAACAGCGACACGGACTCGGAGACGGGACACAGGCACGGCACGGACCGTTTATTGTCAGCGATGGATGAGAGCGAGCGTTAACCGAGGCGGGGCCCTCCTACCGCCCTGCCCGCACGGGGCCGGGGGGCACCGCTGCTTTCCCGGCGCTCAGCCGGGACAAGTCCCCACGGAGAGCGGCTCCGGGCAGGGCTGGGCGGGCCCGCGGGGCCGCTGCCACCAGGCGGATGGTGACATAGTGATGGGCGACGGTACAGGGCAGCTTCTACTTGTCCTTCTTGGTCTCCTGAGGCGCAGCCGCCGGCACGGCTGGGGGCTCCTCAGGCCCCTCCTCCCGCGGCTTCGACTGCTTCTTGGCCTTCTGGTAGAGCTCGTTGAGGTTGAACTCCCGGATCACGTTCTCCTGTGGCCAAGAGGTAGTAGCATCAGCACCTCGTGCTCCCCCCTTCTTCCCAGGCACAGGCTGGGCAGGGGAACAGAGGGCTGGAGGGTCCCACGCACCTCAGAGAAGGTCCAGGACACAGCCCGGCCCTTCTTGTCGATCTGCGGTCGCCGCATGATCTCTGTCCCACCCTGGAAGAGGATGAGGGTGGGCAGCTGCTTGGTGAGAGGCGAGGTGCTGACCTTGTACCTGTGTGAGCACGAGCCAACAGTGACCCTCGGGCGGCCTGAGGGTCACAGGGACTGCCCCAGAGCGAGCCCTGCTTGCCCAGGCTGCGTTCCCCGCACCTGGTGCTGACGTCCGTGTACCGGCCAACATCCACCTTCCCAAACTGGAGTCCTGAGCAGTTGTACCTGGGCAGGATGGGGACACGAGGCTGTGAGGGACGCAGGGGACCACAGGCCCCCTCACCCACCAAGATTCCAGTGGGTGCCACTCACTTGAGAGAGAGGTCGGCGAAGATGGGGGCAAAGGACTGGCACTCGCTGGACCAGTTGGCAAAGAACTCAACAATCCATGTCACCCGCTTGTCCCTCTCCAGCTCCTCCTGCCACAGGGCATGGGCTTAGAGGGGGGTGGGCAGAGCCCCCCAGAAGCCCCAGGGCTGGGGAGATACTCACATCGATGGTCTTGTCACTGAAGTACTTGATGTATTCAGGGCCCATGTAAAGGGGTGGCTTGCAGGTCATCAGGAACACTGGAATGACAGCACCCTGAGCCCCCCAGTGCCACGAGGGCCTGGGACAGAGCTCCTCCACCCCAGAGCAGCGAGGGGGAGCCAGGACAAGGCGGATCTAGGGCAGGAAGACGTGCAGGCTCACCTATGCAGAGCGTGAGGTAGAGCAGCCCCATGCGGATGTCGAGGCGGAAGAACAGGATGGCGTTGGCCACTTTGCTGAACATGAAGATATTCCCGATGTGCTGCTCCACGGTGACTGTGATGTGGAGACAGGAATAAGGGATGGGGCCAGATGCCCCCAGAAGGCTGGGGGTAACTTCAGGGAGGGCTGGATGTGGTCCTCCAGACACCACCCCACTCAGCTCCTTGGAGGAGACCCCATAAGCAGCCCCAGCCCCCCAAGTCCCCCTGACTCACTGGAGCGCCGGTTCTTCATCATGACAATGGCGCTGAGGAACATGAGGATCTCCACCTCCCTCTGGCACAGAGAAGGGACAGCATGAGCTGCAAGTGCCCAGGACACCTTGGAGCCAGAGGGGCCTGTGGCCATGCCAGGCCCTACTGGCCCCAAGGCCCGGCCAGAGCCCTGAGCCCCCATCCCTGCCGGGGGAGAACAGCGAGCACAGGGGCCGCCCTGGGGCCATGGGCTCGACCAGAGCCTGGGGGGGCCTCTGGGCTGTAGGGCGACACCGCAGAGCAACGCCAGGGGCTACCGGGCATCTCCTCCCTCAGCCAGGCGGGGGTGCTGTGACAGCAGGAGGGGAGCCAAGCCAGGGCCGGGGGTGTGGTGACAGGCCCGGGGACAGCCCAGGGATGCGGGGAGAGGCCCGGGGACAGGCCGCGCCGCCTCACCCAGTCAAAGTCACACGGGTTGCCATCCTCCCGCTGCGAGGGCAGCCCACGGCAGAGCGGCGGGACCTTGCGCACGAGCAGGAAAGCGGCGGCGAGCAGCGCGGAGAGCGGGTAGTAGGGCTGGGCGAGCCATCGGCAGAGCCCGGGCAGCCCCCACAGCAGCGCCAGCAGCGGCGCCACCACCGCCATCTTCCCTCCGCCCCGCTCACTGCCGGGGGGCGGGGCCAACCCGCGCCGGCCAATGGCGAGCGGCGAGGCGGGCGCTCCCTTGCCCGCACTGGCCAATGAGAGGAGAGAGAGAAGCGGCCAATCAGAAGGCTGGGACGAGTCTCCCATAGCAACGGGAGGCAGGACGGTGTAGGGGCGGTGCTCGGCCAATGGCGGGGCGGGGCGGCCCCGCGCGGGGCACGCCGGGAATATGGAGAACTTCTCGGCGCTGTTCGGCGCGGCGGAGCCGCCGCCCGCCGCCGCCGCCGCGCTCGGATTCGGGCCCGCCAAGGCTCCCGGCGCCGGAGCCGCACCGCCGCCCGCTGCCTCGACCGCCGCGCCGCCACCGGGCGAGGACGCGGCCCGCAAGGCCGCCGCTGGCCCCTTCTACCTGCTGCGGGAGCTGCCAGGTGCGGGCGGGCCGCGGGGCGGGGCGGGTGCCGCGCTTGGCCAATCAGCGCGGCGGAACGCTGTCGCGAGGGGAACTGACGGCGCCGGGAGCCAATGAGGCCGCGGGGGCGGGGTCTCGCAACGCGCGGTCCGGTGGGGAAGTGGGCGGCGGGGGGGTCCCCGGGGCCGGGGTCCCGGTGCTCGGGGGGTGCAGGGGGTCCCGGAGCCTAGGCTCGGCCGGGGAGAGGGGTCTGCGGCGTCTTCGGGGCGTTTCGCCCTCCCCAACTCCTGCCGCGACCGCACAGGCACTACGGAGCTGACGGGCAGCACCAACCTGATCACACACTACAACCTGGAGCACGCCTACAACAAGTTCTGCGGGAAGAAGGTGAAGGAGAAGCTCAGCAACTTCCTCCCCGACCTGCCCGGCATGATCGACCTGCCCGGCTCCCACGACAGCAGCAGCCTGCGCTCGCTCATCGAGAAGCCGCCCATCTGCGGCAGCTCCTTCACCCCGCTCACGGGTGCCATGCTGACCGGATTCCGCCTGCACGCCGGCCCGGTGAGCCCCGGGGCCTGGAGCCGGGGGCGTGGGAGGCGCCCGGCGTGGCCTGACCAGCCCCTTTTCTCCACAGCTGCCTGAGCAGTGCCGGCTGATGCACATCCAGCCGCCTAAGAAGAAGAACAAGCACAAGCACAAACAGAGCCGCACGCAGGACCCCGTCCCCCCAGGTAAGGGTGCCACAGCCGCCCCCCTGCTCCCCTGCAGCACCGGCAGAGCATCGGCTCAGCCGGCGCTTCTGCTTCTCCAGAAACCCCCTCGGACTCCGACCACAAGAAGAAAAAGAAGAAAAAAGAGGAGGATCCAGAGCGGAAGAGGAAGAAGAAAGAGAAGAAGAAAAAGAAGGTGAGTGGCAAGGCTGGGGTCCACTGGGCCCCTGAGGGGCTCTGTGAGTGGCCATCCCCAAGGCACTGCTGCCCAGCAGCTCTCACAGGCTCTGTCTGTCCTTCCTCCACAGAACCGGCACAGCCCGGAGCACCCGGGGGTGGGCAGCTCCCAGGCCAGCAGCAGCTTACGGTGAGGCCACGCCGGTGACACCCTGGGGATCCCCCGGCCCATGGGAACAGCCCCGGCTGACCCCAGGGACACTGGGGCTGGCCTGACCCCCTGGCTAAGAGGACACCCCTGCAGCCCCCAGGACCAGGGGCACGGACTCCGTGGGTGCTGACCTTGGGCTTTTGTACCTGAAGAACCTGGACCATCAAAGCCTCTTTTCTAGTCACCTTTTAAAGTCTGCTCTGAGGAGGGGCTGGTGGCCGTGGCTGCTGTGACCCTCGGCTGTCACAGCGGAGCCCAAACCAAGGTGTCCCTGGAGCGTGCAGGGTGCCCTCCTTTGGATCCCAAACCTCACCAGCACCCACAACACCTTCCCTGGAGCCTCTTTTCCCGTGCCTGGAAAATCCTTACCTTCTGTGGGAGCAGAGTTTGCCTCAAGTCGGAGCCTCCCCAAAAGTGGGCCAGGCTCAGCTCTTACCAGACTCCCTTCTCTCTCTCCCTCGGGATGGGGGGGAAGGCTGAGACCCTGAGGATCAGGAGCCCTGGAGGGGTTGCTCCATCCCTGGACACCAAACAAAGCACACGCACGGCCCCGGGGTGGCTCATTAAATATCCTTTTATTCCTTGTTTTTAAAATGGCTGATAATAATAAAAAACCCTGGCGTGGCTGTGCGGGGCCACGGGAGCTATTGCCGTAGAGAAAGAGTCCGGTAGTGCCGGCAGGGCTTTGGGGACAGGGAGCACGGGGCTCCTTGGCTGCGGATTTTTTTGGCATGTGATGAGAAAATATTGCTTTCCGGGGATGCACCTGCCTCTTCCCCGAGCGAGCGGAAATAAAAACACCCCTGCGACAGCGACAAACCTCCTCGGAATCATTAACAGAAATAAAAAAAGGCAACAAAACCACCAACCCCCCAACCACAGCCCCTGGGGAAAGAGAACAAAGAGCAAAAACTGCGTGGGGGGGACGCTGGGGCCTTTGTGCCAGCTCGGGCTGGGGGTGTGGGGGTGCTGTCCCCACCCTGGGCCCCCCAAGGGGGCTGGAGGCTGCGGACACCATGGATCAGGGAGGGGAGTGTCCCAGGGTGGGTACCTGGCACCCCATGGCTCCCTTCAGGGAGGGAACAGTGGCACCTAGCACCTACCACAGCTCCTTCCATGGGTGCAGGAAGCAGCCCCACATCCCTCCTTTGGGGACAGGGACAAGGTGGGAGGGCCCAGGCCCTGAGCAGGGTAGTTTCTTCCTCTCTCTGGGTAAGATATATAATTTCTGCTTCTTTTTTTTTTCTTTTTTTTTAATATTTATATTTATATATATAGATATTTATATATACACACACCTGGTAACTCGGAAAGAGAAAAAAAATAGAATCCGTAACAATAATAATAAAAAAAAGTATTCTGGTTTAAAAACAATCCGTTCCTACCACGCCAGGCGAGCGGGTGATTGCACAAGGCCCACAAGTGGCTGGCGCAGCCGAGGCGGTGCCGGGGCTGCGGCCCCCCCGAGCCCTCCCCGAGCCCCCCGCGGGTGTGTGCAGCCCCCGTGGCCCGGGGGGCGCAGGGAGGAGCAGGGGGGACCCGCCCGGCTCTCCCGGGAGTCCACAAGTGTCTGGGCACGGCGGGTCCCTGGGGGCCGCCGGGGACGAGGGGAGGGGGCGGCGGCTCTGCCCCTCATACCGAGATCTCGTAGGTGGTGCCCCCCACACCCGAGACCTTCTTGACACCTCCGCGGGTGGGGCTGCTGAGGGGCACCGGCCCCGAGCCCGGTGGGGCCGAGCCCAGGCTCTTGGGCTGCCCGTTGGACTTGCTGTAGGCCGTTCTCATCTGCACCTCGTCCCTGCGGGAAGGAAGCACGGACATGGGGTCAGGAGGGGGAACAGGATGCTGGCAGCCAGCATTACCACAGCCCTGCCCGTCCCAGGGACCACCAGCACCCACTCCAGATTCTGAGGGGCCCATGGGGTGACTGAGGAGGTGTGGGGGGCACCAGCTCTGTTCTGGGAAGAGCAGGAAGATTTCTCTTGCTCTTCCCAGCATCTCTCCCCAGGGAAGGGTGTTCTGCTGCCCCAGGGGCTTGGAGGGGCACTGGGCAAGGGTCCCTCCACAGGCCACACACATCCCTGTGCCATCACAGTACTCACTTTGGTGCCAGTAAGGGCTGCAAGGCCACCTCCTCGGTCTCGGGGCCGCCGGCCTGAGAGGCTGTTTTTTGGCTGCTGTAAGACACGGATTTGCCCAGGTGGGGGGCGGCGGGCTGGTCGGGGGAGCCCAGCGAGCGCACCCGCAGCGCCGGCGGGGGCTCGGGCTTGCCGAAGCGGGGCAGGGCCGGGCGGGTGAGCGGGTTCTTGCCCAGGGGCGAGCGCTTCGAATCGTCCGAGGAGGAGCTGGTGCGGGGGGCGTTGCTGGAGCCCGGCGTCGACTGGATGCCCGAGTCCGCCAGCCCCGCGTCCTCCTCCCGGCCCGGGGCCGGCGGCTGCTGCAGCAGCTTCTCCCGCTCCTGGATGGAGGCCACGATGTGGCGGGAGAGATTGTCATAGCGCACGGGCGAGGGCTCGCGCGGCGCCGCGTGCTTGGGGGAGGCAGCGCTGGCGAAGCGGCCGTGCAGGTCGGTCTCTCGCTGCTGGGCGATGCGGGCCGACAGGAAGGGCGAGGTGTAGCCCACCGGCAGCTCGGGCTCCGGGCCCGCCTGCACCGACTCGAAGTCGGGGCTGTCGGAGGGCGTGAGCAGGCTGTCGTACGAGAGGCTGCCGTTGCGCGTCTGGTTCACCAGGCTCTTGTAGGAGGTGGAGGTGGTGCCCTCCGAGCGGATGGACTGCAGGTGGCCCGTCTCAAAGCCCGTGCCCTGGGCCGACTTGAGGCTGGAGGAGCGGGAGCCACTGGAGAGAGGGTCAAAGTGGAAGCTCTTGCCAAAGGTGGGCGAGCGGAAGCTCTCGGGTTCGAGGCTCGGCTCCGATCGGTAGCTGGGCTTGTGGCCGCTGTCACAAATGGAGTTGGGCTCCTTCAGGCTGTTCACTCGGCTCAGCTGAGGGGCAGAGGGGCAGCAGTTACCCACAGAATGACCACGGGGCCCCTGTGCAGCTCCCAATGCACGCCCTAAACAGTTCCCACACCAGGAACGGGGTGGCATCCCCTCGGGGATGGTCCCCTGCGCTGGGCTCGCCCTTACCTTGGCGCTGGTGGAGTGGGGCAGGGCCGCCGAGCTGCTGCTGCTGCTGTAACCGGGCCGGTACTTGTACATGGTGGGAGTCGGGGGGCTGTCCTTGCCTAGCAAGCTGCTGTCTGCGCCGGGAGAGAGGGGCACGCTCAGGGCGGCTGCGGGCAGGGAACACGCCGAGCCCCGCCTTCCCTGCCTCAGAACCGACTCCGAGCCTGGGGCACACAGACCAGGGACAGGGACGGGCTGCAGGGGAGGTGCGCCGGGGTGGGAGAGACAGACCGGGAGGAAGGGTTGTGCCCACAGCCACGTGTGGGGCTGGCACTTCCGTGCCCCTGCGGCAGCCCCGGCTGGGTGACACCCTGGGGGTGCACGGCACGGGGGTGTCAGGGAGCTCAATGGGAAGCACACACACCACAGCCCTCAGCGGGCAGCAGGACTGGGCAGCAGACCCCAGGCAGGGCCGGGAGAGCTGTGGGGTCTCCAGCTGCTGCAGAAAGCAGCTGCCACAGGCTCTGCCCATCACATCCCACCTCTGGCCAAGCC